TACGAAAGTGTGTCGATTCTCTTCCTTCCCCACGTCTAATACTAGAGTTTTAACATTGACATTCCCCTTACTATTTTTCGCGCCCCAATATAAAATTAAATATTTCAATAAACAATCAGTTCTTTAGCACTAATAGTAGTTTTGCTAACATTTTGTTCTGAAAGATCTTTCTGTGCCCTTTCACAAGGGTATAATTCCAAAAATTCTCATTCAAACGTGCCGGGACCTCACACAGGTTCGGGGTCCTCCGTATCTCAGCCTAACTTGATTCTTAGCTCTCGCCAATCTGGGTTAAGATTTCCAGCGTTGCGCTTGTCCTACATATATGTACCCGCCCCCATCACGATAGACTTGTATTGTTTTATGCTTAATTTTGCAAGAACCAATCTTAAGTTGAGAAGAGTGAATAATAGACTATAGGAACGAGCAATTTACCGATGGGCACTCAACGTAGAGCAAGAATCAGATATTTCATTAGTCATATGAAGTTTCAAGTTAATGTTTGCTTTGATTGCGTTTATGAAGTTGTCGCTTGGTAAAGGACCCAGTGTAACACTGGAACACAGCTCTTCACTAGTTAACTTTCTTAAACAAACCGTTTGCTAACGACCACTCTGCAAAGGCACGCACACAGGTTTTGGCGGCAGAGGGAAACCTATTCACCTCGCCCCCCCCCAAAACAGCGTATAGTGGCCAAGTCTAGCCCACTCAAATTTGTTTCTATAAGTTAGATGCTCAAAAAGTATTACTAGTACATGATGATTGGGTTCTCACACTTGGTTCCCCTCTAGAGCCCGAAGGTTCTTCCCAATCTCACATTTTTTAGCATCTTTTGTCTATTTACAAAGCCAAGATTCATCATTCTTAAGAGTAGAAAGGTTAAATAAAAAATAGAAATACTCAACAGGTCAAATTCTACAAAATTCAAACAACACTACTACATTTCCTACTAAAAATTGTTTTTAAAATTCGACGCGCTCAAAATTTTCCAAGAAGGTCCTTCAAGCAATATATAAATCAATTTTAACCCTATACCACAATCTTTCAATGTGCTCCATAACACCTTGGATGTGCAAAACTCGAACTGTTTTATCGCGGGGTGACCTTTGTTTCAACTACGTTTTTCAACGATATGGAATTAATGTTTATCGGGTTTGAGGCTGACAGTGGAATAGAGGCTGACAATGGAAAAGGGGCTTTGAAACAACATCACAGTCTGAGATGAAATATTGAATATAATCGATTTACAATCAGAGCCATTTTTACATGCTAGCTAGGGGACAATGCCCTCCAGCCCAAGCTCCATTGTTTAAAAAAATAGGCTTTTGTCCTCCTCTTTTATATAGACAATGGCTTGCACCGCAGCCATTTCCTTAGAATAAGCCATGTTTTCAATGTCATTTCAAACCCATTTCACTAAGTATGAAATCCCCTCCCTTTTGGCACATGTATTTGGCAAAGGTTCTGTTAGGTTTTTGTTTGAAACAAAACTCAGAAGAGTGCGGGAATGTCAAGCAATGGATTGGAAACGAGACGCTGTGGAAGCAGAGAATGAGATGGATAGCCATCATAGATCGAAGAATCTTTGATACCAGTGTTGGGTTGCGAACTGGATGAGGAGGCTGTGTGGGACAAAGTGTAGCTGATTTCACTCGTCTAATCATCATTAGCAATGTAAATTCTCCCCTAGAAACACAAAGGATAACAGAAAATACCGTTTATTTATCTATTCTTAACAATCATTCTACAAAAATTATTTACAAAAAAAGTCATTTTACAGAAAAAGAATAGGCCTTGTCATTCATTTCCTGCTACACGATGGCCAAAACACAATTGCACTTATCTGTGCTACTGTTTGCTTGGGTTTTATTTAACATGTCTTCTCGAGGGCGTATCTTCTACGCGAATCTGAGTTCTGATATTCTCATGTGTTATATGTTCATAATAACTTGTTATTTAAAGAAGCTAATCAACTTATAATTGAATATAACGAAAAGCCTGTGTCCTGAGAAGGAAACACGTATTTGTGCCAAACTAGAGGATTGAACCAATAAGAATCTTCGAGCTACTTCACAGGGAGATTTATATCGGAAGCCCTTAGGTCGCGGGGAAAGCTTCTTTGAAAAGTTTTGATGAAACAAGACATGGTAGGGTAAATAAAGAACATAATTTGGTAATAGCAATGGGCAGGGACGACCAAGATTTGCGAGAGGGCAGTGTTGGTGCTGGGTGCAAATAGTAGAATTTCAAAATAATCCACAAGAAACAGAGGTAAAATCAAATACTGTTTAATTCATCGTGTTTATGCATATATTAAGGCAATGAAATAAGCGTAACATTCTCGTTCTGACAATGAGCAAAAAAGTCAGTATCTTATAAGACGCCGTTGGTTGAAGTTATTATCTGTTTTCTGAAATAGAATTTTCCTTTATCAAAGACCGCAGCAAACAGGATGTTTTTTCTAAAATTTTTAATTTCTTATTGAAATTACATAATTAGAGTGGCTAAAATAGCTCTAAATTATATACAAGATTCTATAATCTTTTCTTAGAAGTTAATATTTAAGGACACTGCTTGCCCTACCCTCCTGCAAGGGAGTAGGAGGTTGCTGCACCTGCAGCCACGTAGGTAGGCGCCCTGCAGGGCAAGTTCAAGCTGGGGATTGCGATCTGTTGGCACTGAGACGGAGTGGAAGTCTTTCAATCATAGCAATAACAATAGTGATGTCTTCTTATTACGTTTCTCAGAACATATATATTCCTTCACTGAAAGGTGTATACGAATTCTCAATCGGGACAATCCACAGTCAGCACTGAAATCTCCATACTGCCACCCCCCCCCCCCCACATCCATAGATCTCATGGCAGGCAGGAGACGTCGTTTACATCTCCCATCTGATGTCACGTAAACCGATACTGCATTTGCTGACTACCAATTATAGCATTAAGCAATAGCATTAGTGCTGTCTTATTTATTACGTTTCTCAGAACATATTTTTTTCCTTCACTGAAAGGTGTATACGAATTCTCAATCAGGACAATCCACAACAATTTGCACTGAAATCTCCATACTGCCTCTAGATTTCTGACAATAGATGTCGTTTACATCTGACGTCACGTAAACCGATACTGCATTTGCTGACTGTCTGTTTTCTCCAGTTTTCCTTTTCTGATGGAGTATCGTAAGGCTCTTGTTAGTTTGTCATCAGATAGAAGTTTACGCCCTTTGTGATCTCCCCATAAGTTAGCCACTCTTTGCGGCCTGGTGATTTTGAACTCGCGTCTCTCTTTCATTGTCCAATGTATGTACGATTCATAGCCTCCAGCGTTAAGTAATTCCAAAAGAAAATCTTCGATCTTGACACTTTCTGTGGATCAAAATGAAGTAGAATATGGTCAGTGGGTATTGTTCTATAAGGTCAGAATTTGTTTACCGAAATAATTTCATGATATATCAGTAATTATAGTAAGGATGTTCTGAAAAACAAAAGAGTATCATTTCTCAAACCCAAGGAACGCCTTGTCGTTATTGCTTTCTTTGGAAGGCTTTGAAATCATTAGCTCATTGACCAGACGAATAATTGACCTTTTTGCTCGGCAATTCAGGGATCTAAACCAAGGAAGACTTTTCTTCTATATAAATTTCAGATAAAAATTTATTACCCACAAAACCTCTGTATTGTTTAATTTCCTTACGTTCGTAGAGGTCTATGATAACGATTTATAACTCTTGATCATGGAAACAAGTGTGAGAGGCTTGTGAAAATCTAGGTATTGCCTACATTCGGGAAAGAAAAGATAATAAGCAGGAGCATGGCTAGAATTTTGGCTAGATATCTCGTTAAGTTATTCCTACGTGAAATTTAATGCTCTTTCAGTATCTGCTTGTCACCACTGGATTATGTAGTGGACGTAGCAAGGCATGGTCGTGTGACGTCACTCGCTCTTTTCAAAAGAAATATGTCTGCGTGCAGACTTTACTTTCCATTGCGAAGGAGAGTTTACTTTCCGTCTGCGAATTAGCATCCGTTTTTGTGTTCTGAGAACTGGTGCAATAAGCTTGCCTTTATGTAGGTATTGTATTTTAGCCAATCAGTATCTGGTTTGAGATTTTAAGGACCCAACCAAATTTAAGCACCATCATCACGTGCTGATTAATCCCCATGATACAAAACTACACAATCGTTCTGGAAATAGGTTGTGTCTTGGCCGTCTTGGCTCTCCTTCGCAACGGAAAGTAGTCTGCACGCAGTCTAGCCAAATTCTAACCATGCACCTATCTATAAGTTCCTTTATTTGCAACTGTGACTACCTAATCCCGGACAAATTGTTGAGAAAAAATGCAATTTTTGTAATTTTCTACTTTTCGTTG